AGCAAGGGGACATTAGTAAATAACGATTGGACGTCCACTGAACACATAACCTTGTCGACTAGGCTGATTTGGTCTAGGTCTTCGATTATTTCAAAAGAGTCCTTAATGCTGTGCGAATTGTACTGCTGCCTTAGTGGTGAAAGGATCCGAACTAACCAACGAGCCAATTTGTGCTGCGGGGAATTTACCATGGACAAAATGGGTCTTAGTGGCATGCCCTGCTTGTGGGTTTTTGGTAACCCGTATAGCTGTGGTGTCGAGGAACCGCTCGGCTTCAGGTGCTTGTAGGTGGTTTCATCAATTACACGATGTAGGAGAAGCGTTTCAAGGTGTCGGGTTATACGGGCCTCTACTTCTGTCAGACATTCTATCTTGTCGGTGTGTTGAAACTTGCTTTCATCACTTAAAACGCTTATCATTTTTTGTACGTAATCATTCTTGTTCATGACAACTGCTCCTGAACCTTTGTCCGGTTTTAGTACAACCACTCCCTTATTTCTCAGCTCCCGTAGTGCTTTTAAATGACGGCTTGTAAGCGCACACTTTTCGTTTACCGGTACCATGTGGACTTCATAGGCAATGTCGGTCAGCTTATTCCTAAACCAACTGACAGCATCAGGACTGGTTGACTGAAGTTCAGCTACTTGGTCGAAAAAATTCTCAAACTGTGCTTCAACAAACAATCGATTCAGCTTATTGGGAGTAACTTGGTAATCTATCCCCAAGGCTAGTGCTTCTAGCTGCATATCATCAAGCTGTACGTTTGACACATTCAAGACGTACTTACGGAGATCACGTGTAACGGGTTGGTCATTTGCTTCCATCAGGGATTTCAGTAGACGCTTTCTGCAAGTTTCTTTCGTGCGAGCGATAAGTCTCTGGCAAAAGATTGAGAAGACAATACGGCAGCATAGGGACAGGCTCTCCACAACCGGCATCAGGCGAGTATGTGTCTCCATCAGAGTTGTTAGCTTTGCCTTGGTCGTGTCTAATTGCGCTGATGCAATGCGTCTAAGATTGCGATTGGAAGGCGCGAGCTTGTTTCTGCGTAATAGTTTCAGCATTGAACGCGGGTAACGGCGTAGGGTGACACACTCGGAAAGAAAGGATATTTCCACACGTTTGCATGCTAGCTTGCATCTTAGGTTGACAATACGATGCAGCAAACGGTTAGTTTCGGGGGAATTCGTCGCTTGAGAAATTTAAAACAGTTAGTCCCCTTCAGTAGTTTGAACAACGAAATGAGAAGACGAATATTGGCAGATGCTAGCATTTCGTATTATCTCGTCAGTACCAATACAATAACAGGGAAATCCTTTTATATGTCTTACAGGGCACAGTCAAACCAATCAAATTTATTGTTGTGGTCATTGTTATCAGATTACGTCCACGGCAACCGCAGGTTGACAACTAATTGCTTTTGGACACACAAAGCTGGTCTAATTCGGCTTATCGCGACGGCCTCGGCAAATCGTAAAAGGCGTGCATTCGTATGACGTAACAAGATCCGGAAAGCTGATAAGGGATTGACCTGGTGACGAGTCGCCAAGATGTGCCTGCCTATGGAGGACGCTGGTGGCTTACGCGAACACGTATCATCGGAGGTGGATTGGGTAACTTCACGCTGAACCCAGTTTGGTAGGTGTTCCTTTACTCGGGAATCTAAAACCCGTTCGGTCCTGCCGATGTAACTGATACCGCAGTCACACACGAATTGGTAGACACAATGGGATTTGGCGCCGACGGGTTCATCTTCCTTTACTGAAGGTAACGGCAACTTTCGGGTTCTGTTGATAATTACCGCCTCCGCAGCACAGTATGTACGCTGAATGGCCGAGACAATCCGTTTGGATTATTTTGTCGCATACTTGCCGGCTTGTAGGTTACCGGAACGCTGTCCATCCGTTACCGGTAGCTCAGCTGGCTTGCACTTGTTGCATTTCCCCTTTTATATTTTATGTATTGCGGCACAGTAGCTGAGGTGTTTCCCACCTCTAGCTAACGTGTACAATGATGATGATGATGACTATCCCACCGGTATCATTTATTGTTATTTTTACGGAGTGAATCGTAATAACTGGGTCCACCGCATTTCGATGGTCGGATCATAGTTGATCAACTGAAGTGAACTGATCTGAATTGTGACGTTGACACGCGAGCGGTAAATTGTTTCAGTTGGCTTCTTTCAGAGTATTCTTTCGGGTGCTAATTTATCAGTTTGCCTAGCCGAGCGGGATTTCGTATGTGTGTGGAATATATGAGAACCAAGGGATACACGGCTTATTTTTTCTTTACCTGGAGGCGGAGCTTCACGATCGCCACTGCGGAGTAGAACAGAAGGTATGCTGGGATGTGGTGAACCTGTATCATCTGTCGTGTACTGTTTGGGCAAGATAATATCGACACATCTGTAACTACAAGAAAATTGAATGTTATCATTAGATTCCGCATTGTGTTAAAATCATCCAAATTCGTCTTAAATTTCGTTGACTTTTCATTCTCCCGCACTAGTAGTGGCAACGTTTTCCATAAATGAGTAAGTTTTACCATGGCATAGTTGAAACGGATTATTAGCTTTATCTTTGTGATTACAGTGCTCACTTCTATTCCGTTTAGGATTAGTTGAGGAATTTTGCAATTTGAGTGTTGCTCCGATCATGTATACCCAGCAATGTATTGTGTTGTAAAGATGGACGAGGTTGTTTTTCAGTCGGCGCAGCCATTGTGGGTGTAACTGAAAGTGGCGACAGCGGTCTTCATAGCACATAGTGGTAGTGCATCCGGTGGTCATTTCGTATATAACAGCTGGATACTTCCCAGAACTATTCTATCTCTTCTACCCAGGGGTCTGTGGCTGGTAATACATGTTATTGCGGTGGTAAGAAAACTCCCCCACTTCCCGTTGTTTTGTGAGTTTCTCCACTCACCCCTATTCATCTCGCCCACTTTTACGGTTCCCCGCATACTTGTTTTCTGTTTGCCTCACATTTACGACTGGCTTGTATTCACACTGAATCTTATGCTTATTAGCTTTTCTCTCACTGTGTAGTTTGATCGTTCATGAGGCACCGTACCGATCCTTCGCCTCTGGAATGACTAGCTCTGATTAATCGAATGTCAGACATTTATTATATGGATGCAGAAAAGCAGTGGTCCCAGCACACTTTCTTGGACGACTCCCCTTGGAGGTTTTGTTGAAGAGGAGCAATGCTGACCGGTTCTAATTTATTGCGTCCGGCCTTTCAAGTATGGTTTAAACAAGCTTAGCTGATTTCGCATAAGTGCAGGACAGACAAAGAAGGTTTGTGTGGCATGCGAGCGAAGACTCTTTGTATCTTTAGTATAAGGACATAGCTGTCATGCCACTGCCAACGACTAACGTTGTATTTGTCAGGTTACACTGGAACATTTCGTAAGAAAGCCGTGTTGCATGCTGTTTATCACTTCTACTCGTGTTATGAATTAGTCAAGAGCACTCTTAACTATTGCATCCAAGGACTTAGAAGTGGAGGCAGTTTGATTAATAGAGTGATTTTTCGACATTGCGGTTCGTGGACCGTCTTTATGCTTTGGCTTGTAATATAAAAATTTTCCACTATGGAAGGAAGTATCCACTGTTCATAGACGATGTAAAGCCGTTTAGCATCAGCAAGTGCATGTTTCCACAACCAAGCTTGATAACAAGTGGGGAATACCATCGGAGCCCGGCTGATGTGATGGTTTTATGAAGGCTATACTCCTCCGTACCTCGCTCAAGCTTATGGGAATTTTTGAAGATATTTCATCTGTTCTCCGATGTAGCGGCAAATGAGCTACGTTGGTTCTAGTATTGACTTAGGCAGCGTAGTAACAGTTTAGTGCTTCACACCCGTTGTCGATCCATTTTTAAATCAGATCTTTACTTTCATGATAATGTTTTAGATTCCTCCTTTTACGCTGCTTTTGTTCCGTTTGCCGGCTTGTCTTCTTAGATCCTTAGTTTCATTGGTGTTTTTCGCTTGCTGTGCTTGATGTTCTGACCTCTTCAGCGCCTCATGTATTTACAATAGTGTTGTGAAGCTACTATTTTAGTGTCAGTTTGGCTTTAGTTTCCTCCGTCTATCAGTGCTTTTGATGCAACACTTCTATTGCTAAGCACTAGTATGGGTGTTTGTCCATATCGTCGGTACTAGTAGGTCTTTAATTTTGATGAGGCTGTTTAAAAATTCATTTACTGCTAAAGTTTAATCACGTTTCATGAAAAATGGCTCTCAGTTCAGCTTACAGATCAGGTTGCCGCAAGCGAACCAGTAAATGATATGGATGAGATGAACAGGTAGTGTTACATTCATGCTGCAGCGCGCAGTATTGTAACGACTTAAACTAATCGCCACATCTTCTCTCTCCCAATCTTGCTACTCGGCGACTCTCTGTAAGAACAGGCACATGCTGACCACAGTTCGACGGGTTTAGGCCAGATCAGTCATAGCTCATGGCACACTGTTCTCCGCTTCTCTGACTTCGCCGATGTTTTCGTGATGAACCATGCTAAACCGCTGTTTTCAAAGATTATTTTTCCATGGAATTATTTGCCCCTCTTGGAATCCATCTGATGTCGGGGTAGCGCCTTGGCTACTTACTTTTCACTTTATTCATGTTTGCTAACACCATCACGCCTGTTTGCTCACTGTTTATTCTTATTGATCCCAGTGATGCAGTATTAAATGATTTTCATAACACCTTGACTACAGTAACTACTTCATAGGTTTTTTAGTATTCTAGTCCCACCAAGGTGGATACATATCCACAACCGTTGTGAAACTAGTTTTTTCTTGATCTATCGTATCCTCTTCAGCTCGAGTTGGTTGTGTTAACTACCAACGATATCCTTCGTTCACCTCCATGCTTATGACGCTTTATGTGGTGCAGGTATTTCGTAAGGAAATTTGTTCATCTGCCTCATTCAGTCCGCGCCACGCTTTTCGTATATGCCGCCTTTCTATTGTATTTTTTTCCTTTAGTCTCCCTCGATCAAAGTCAGCCAAAGTAGAAAGAGGCGGTGAGTTTGTTCTTTTCCAGCCTTGCCCATCTTTTACTTTTTCGTCCCCTACGCAATCTATTGCACATTACCTTTCAACTCATCTCTGGTTTCACTTTCGGTTACTCTTTACAATACCCATATACACTACGGAACAATGCTTCCTGTGTATCCCTTTTTATCAAACTGGTTCCTTCATCGATAAGCGGCTTATTCATCATAGGCAACTCAACGACAATAACCCTGTTTGAGCCGCAGATTGCTTCTAAACGTTGCTTGGTTGCTGACATTGTTGACTACCAGTGGGGAGAACTACCAACGCAAGTGCATCGATCCCCTACTTCCATTGGCCGTTCGGTGCTAGCTGATGCCGGTGGCGTATGCGTCCAGTTCTACGACAGTACTTCATGGCACCTGAGCGTCTATCGCGTCACACTCTATTCGCTCGTCAAAGACCTGGCTGGAGACAACCGCGTGTTGGTCAGCCTTCCACTTTGCGACAGCACTTGAAATCGCTGACATTGCGTCTTGCCGCCGTTACAGCCGTACGTCTTCCAGGATGGTGACCCAAGGATGAGGAGTGCGAATACCATAACATGCTTGAAGACATGGCCTCCAACGGGAATCAATGGAAGAATTGTGTACAGTATTGTATTGATTCACCTATTTAATATTTCAAACATTGAGAATGACAAAAAAGAGAAAGTCGGCGTACGAACAAAAAACCCTAAATGTTTTGTTCTATTTTTGTTCCGTTCTTCCTGTGGCACAGTAGCTGAAATGTGTTGCTCACCTTCAACTACTGTGTCACGATGATTATGACGCAGTGACTCTGCGCCTTATCCGTGGTTTTTGTTGGCTCGATGTCTATTTACTAGACTGTCGCGCTTACTACTACTACTACTACTACTACTACTACTACTACTACTACTACTACTACTACTACTACTACTACGACGACGACGACGACGCGACGCGACGACTACTACTACTACTACTACGACCACAACCCTGTGAGGCTGTCGTTCGCATGCGCAATGTTTGTTAATCGGTCACCTGGCGGAACTTGGACTACGGAAGAGTGTGACAAAATCGAAACATTCATGATCCTTTCGATCACAAGGTCGCGAAAAAAGACAGCACAAGCCTAGCAAAGCTTAATTCTCTTTGGGAACGGGAGACAGTTTCTTCTAGGCTCTTACCAGATTTCAGGAGCCACGGTGGCAAAACTTCCGAATGGAACGATGTTTAGCTGATGCATCCGTGCGGATAGACAATGCCCCAAGCGGAGGCGATCAAGAGTAAGGTAAGCGACTTTCACGTAAAGAGAAACCACCATATTTATTCGTCTGTGTTTGTGTTCTAACACCTGACGAAGAGTGACTATTTGGTCGATGCAACCACGACCAGGACAGAATGCAGCCTGTGTTTAAATGAATCGGCTCGCACGGGGACCAGTAAATCGTCGAAGTATGATACCCGGGATAACGTTGGAGGCCATGGAAGAGGGGCTAATGCGTCTATGGTCTTGGCACAGTGTCTGTTGACACGAGAGTTGACAGTCGCCGGTCTGAAAGCACCTCTCCAGTGTCCCAAATATGGTTGAATAGGGCACGAACACGAATTTGGAGCGCATGGTCTGGCTCGTTGGATGGAGTCCTTTCGGGAGCAATTTGCTTGGCCCTTTGCTACTGTGTCTTTTCCCTCTCTGTTGCAGCATGTTGAATCATGCACATTTAGACTAGCGGCTCCATCAGTGGCTGAGGTTTAAATGCGACCACAGTTCTTAGTCGTTTTAAGCTGATACTTCGGATCCCCTTGAGCCCGCACTACTTACAGGTGTTGGCAAGGTGCTCTGCAATGGACCGACCCCTATGTTCGGACGAGTCTGAAGGAAACAGACCATCCCAACCAGCTAGAGTGAATCAAGCCTAGCGGTAGTGTACGAGAAGTGCCCTAACGCCGAATGTGTTAGACATGGCTATATCAGCCTAACACCAGTGGTGACAAAATTACTGGCCTATGTTCTCATTCGTCACCTCATTTTGGAACGGGAATTCCTGATGAGGGAACTACAGGCAGATTTCCGTCCGGTACGCTGCTGTGTAAATCGCGTATTCACTCTGCGACCATGTCCCGCTTGCCGCAGACCGACAGCTGGGATTCGTTCGACCTTAAAAGTACGTTCGGCTCAGTCGACCGATCCACTATGTTGTCATTCTTGTCCGGCAAGGTTGTCCTATGGTATCTGTGAACATTCTACGTGCCTTGAACCCAAACACCACAGGTCGAGCCAGCTTTTACAGTGACTTGTCGGATGTCTTTCCATCACCAAGGGGCATTCCCCAGACCTGTGCAGTTTCCCCATTGTTCCTCAACTATGTACTGCCCTCCATCATGGAGTGTCCATGGTGAAAGACTTGTAGATCTGCTTTTTTCAGACCATAATGTCTTGGCTATTAAAGGTGTTAAACTACCTCAGTCCACCCTGACTAACGTCCTTAGCATGGTCTCACCGTTTGGTATGCGCTTCGCTTCGTCGAATTATTCTCGCCGGAGTTCAGTACAACGCACTACGCAGAACCACAGATGCTGAGCTCAGACAACTCATCAGGAAACTCCCGCAAACTTTTCCAACTTATTCCCTCCACGGGAGGCAGAAGACTAACAGTGAGTGAGGTTTTATGTGCAAATGACGGTGAACTAATTCACAATCGACACCGTCATCTGCTACGATGGGCAGAGTAATTTGAAGATCAGTTCAACTGGCCGGCAGCGTAACCGAGTCCATCTCTCAAGGTTCACAGTGCTCCCTGGTGCGTGGATGTTTCTCCACCGACAGAGGCTGAGGTTTCCAAAGAGCTTCGCCTACTGAAACGTCACAAGTCACCCGGCTCAGATGAACTTCCCCTGCCCTCTTCAAATATGGAGGTCCTGCTCTCACTCGAGAACTGACATCTCTATTCCATCATATTCGGACTACTGCAACCATTCCATCCGACTGGAATTTAGCGGATGTTCCACCTGTTTACAAAAGGGGAGACCTGACCATTTGCTCCAACCATCGTGGCATCAGTCCCATCTGTGTCGCATCCAAACTCTTCGCTGTCCTGCTCTTGCGGAGGCTCAGTTGCATACGGGACAGCACTTGCGTGAATAACAAGTTGAATTTCGCTCGGGACGCAGTTGCGTCGACCACATCTGTACGATCCGCCAGATAGTTGAACATCGCCATACGTACGTACAGTCACTCTGTTGACAGATAGACTTTTGGGGACTGCTTACTGAAGAGGGGATTACCTGAGAAGTACGTCAGCATTCTCTGTGCCATTTAGCATCAAACTTCGGGCCGCGTGCGAGGATACGGACACATTTCGCCCCCTTTCGGTGTCATTAGCGGTGTTAGACAGGGTTGCCTAGCCACTTTATGCTTGTTCAAATTCGCCATGGACGAGATCCCATATACTGCCCTGGATAACTCTGAGTCTTGCGGTGGTGAACTGCTCCCTGGTGACCACCTTCGGGACTTAGAGTACACTCTTAACATCGCTGTGATTTGTGAGTCCTCCCAAGCCGCCCAGCATGCGCTGCTCGGAATGGAGATGTTTGCCTCCCAATTTAGGTTGATCTTTTCCTCTTCCAAATGTAAAATTCTATTACAGGACTGGCCAAGCGCAAATCCTTCCCTTACCCTTTCGGGGCATCCGCTGGAACTGGTCGACAAATTCATTTATCTTGGGAGTTGTCTTAGTATTGGCGGTTTGACAGATGAGATCTCCTTGCTTGTTTCCTAGGCTAGAGTCACGTTCACTAACCTACGTCACCTGTGGCTTCGTCGTGACTTCAACCTCGCTCTCAAACGACGAGTCTACAATGCTACGGTATGAGTGATTCCGCTGTACGGCTGTGAGATTTGGCCCGTTCGCAAAAGCGATGTTCAGCGGCTATATGTCTTCGATCACCGCTGCTTGCGAAGCATTGCTGGTGTTCGATGGCAGCACCACATCAATAATGAGGAAGTCCATCGGAGAGTCTTCAGATCTAACGAAATCCGCCGACCGATCGATAGCATCATTTCACTGCGGAGCCTTTGCTGACGTGGGTATGCGCTCCGCATGCCTACCCAGCGGCCACTTCAGTGAGCCCTATTTGCGAGCACACGCATGGCTTGGAACCGACGAAAAGGAGTGCAATGCGTTAAAACGCAAACGTTGAAGCTGGCTGTTGTTAGGCCTTTCCGACTCCCGGGTTGGGGACAAAAGGACCCCGAGCACATCTCTTTGCAAACGCTGGAGGCTATGGCCAAGCACCGTACGCAATGGCGCACTTGCTGTGAGACTTTTTTACCCTAGCAGTTGTTTTCTTTTTCAATCTAATTTCTTTCCTCTAATGTATTGTGGTACGCAGCCAATTATATTGTAATTGGTAGGGTGTTGAATAATGATAATTATAATATAATATTTGCACTTTGCACCCTAAAATTGCAGTATTGTTTCAGGACCACTAGCCATTTGGTGACCCCTTAAGTCTTGATAGCGAAGAACTCTTGGTAGTTGACCAATTCATCTGCCTTAGAAGCTGCATCAGAAGCGATAAGCAGCCTAAACGCGTGTTGCACGAACTGGATTTGTCTTCCTTAGCCTACAAAATGTGTAACGTAAATGTAGGTTTCTGCCGACCTGAAAGACCATGTGTACAAGACCACATTGAAGTCTGTCCTACTTTAATTGGGTGAGACTTGTCCCCTTCGGTGTGAGGACCTGAAGTGCGCTCAAGCATTTGATCCTCGCTGCTTGCAAAGCACTGTTGATGTCGGATACTATCGGCGTGTGCGCATTGACGATGTGCTTAGGCGAGTACTAGGCGGTGATAATCAAGCAACTTCCTTATACCAACAGATAACGCTGTATAAGTTGGCTTTTACACGTGTTACGTATGCGCCGTCATTGCTTACCGAGAGAATTGTTTATTTTACCAGATATATGGTGGCACAAATCTCGGCTCGGCTGAAGTTGATTTGGTAGAGAAAAATGAACTAACGTAAAACTGTGGGTGCTGTTGGTCCGTCACACTTCCTCGGCTGGAGCCTACGCGACCCGTTTTGTTTGGTTAGAGGCTGTAGAGGGCATGGTTCTCAGTATGCATCAGAGGGGTGTTTGCTGTCATCTGGTAGTCGGACTACATTTTGAAGAGTGCCTGATGCTGAGTTATCCTTGGATTAATGGCTGATTATTACACGGCCCAATAACACTCGCAAAGTAGCTGTCCCGCCGATTCCGCCTTATCTCTGCACTATAGCCGGCTGTTTGCGATTGTATGTTTTTTGGCAAGGTGTAGGTAGCTTGGGCCTCAATGTTTGGTTAGAACTTGCGTTTTGCACAAGGTCCTCTTCTCTCTCTGTTATTCTTCATTGCTTAGGTCATTGTAGTTGTACGGCCTCGTAGCATCGGTTCAAATGGCTGACGTACTACTTTTGATTCTGAAAATCCAATCCTTGGATACGAATTAAGCGATTGCTGTCCTTTAATGTTTGCACTTTGTTGCGCACCAGCTTGACGCCGGAACTTCGTACCACCTGCACGCAGCCACGATCGGCTGCCTACGGCTGAGCACGCTCGGACCGTCCGGATTTCTTTGGGCCCGCAGCATGAGAAACGCGATCTTTCTAAGCTCTCTTTTCTGTTCCATTATCCCTTGCGGCTTACGGTCACTATGATTCAGGTGTGTTTACTTGCGTGATTCAAGCACATCCATGCTCACTGCGTAGAAACGCGCCGCTGTCATAAAGACTGGTTTGATGATTTCCTCCGTCGTCCTTGATCCTCCCTTGAGCGTGAGTTTATGTATCAGCAGACTTGTCCGATGACCACCTCACACTCATCTTTACCTTATATTTCCCTCTCAGCATTGATATGAAAGCTCTGGATTCAGGTGCATCGCTCGCCTCACTGCCGCTGAACGTAACCCGGCCAACCGTCGCACCATCATCGCTTCCGTCATCTCCCAGAGAAACAGCTAAAAATGAAACGTATTTTGGGGATTCTGGACGCCTTGCCTTGGACTCGACGGTTTCGGTTGAAGAGTTGGTCCGAAAGCGTAGTGATGCTTATTGTCGTCGCCGCGCCTTGGAAGAGAGGTTGGTCGTCGCTCTGTCAGAGTCTGACAGTAAGGTTAAAAAGGACTTAATAGATGTGAGTTCTTTTTTTCTAACATCCAACTAGTTGTCGACTTCACTTCACGAGTGTACTGTTGTCTTTTCATTTACCTCTGTTTAACCCGGTTGACCAACGCTTCGGCACTAGCGCATTTCAGCGGCCTGGCTATGGTTACTGTGTTTGATCCACGCAAGTGAATATTCAGCCCCTCATTTTTCCTAGTTACAGAACGTCGAAATACACATCTCATTCGGATACCAGTGCCATTCGGCAACTTGGGCTTCGTTCTGTTGGGGGCCAATTCGTCATCTTTCCTCTGTACTTTTGTCCGTCATCCGTCTGTCCGTCCAGAGTTCAGTACAATTAGTTCTAAAGTATGGTTCACTTGGCCCATTTGCTTCACCTTTGTCTCTGGTATTTGTCACATGTGCACTGAAGGTCAAGCCCTACCCGACACAATTGGATGAACAACACACCAGAAGCACGCACGCACCCACATACACACACCAAGCTTATCGTATCCCACTTATGGTATGCCAGACGTTCTGTCAGTTGTAAATTAGCGTCCTGTCCAGACTTGTTCTCTATACCGTGGGCTTTGATCCATATAGAGTATACGCTGTCGTACATTTACTTACTCTGACTAATACGTTTCAGTAGTATTACTGAGAGCGACGGTATCAATAACCGGAATTTGAACTTAGTATGTTGAAGCAAAGTTGGCAAAAGGGGAATAAATCGGAGTTATCATATGAAGATGTCACAAGCTTGACATGTGATCCAACTACGGGTGCATCACTAATCTCCTTTTTTGTCACTGATGTCAACTGCCTCAGCATACTTACTGAACTTAACATCTTTTAGTCTGAATCGCCATTCTCACTCCCATTTAATTGGTTGGCTGCTCCGAATTCACACTATTAGGTACAGTTTGCTAAACACACACTGAAGCGATTGGTCGGCACTTACATGAAGTGACCCTTCAACCAGCGTACACTGTGAGAAATGGGCAGAAAAACTGATGAGGCACCAGATCGTTTAATACCAAAAGCCAACTCATAAACCACCCCTGCTTATCCGCTTTTCCAACCAGATGTCGGTACTGCCACATAAACGCCGATCGTTACTGACCAAAAGTTTCCGAGTGATTGCATTGTCTATCGCACTTGGTTGTCATCGGCATTAACAATGACCGAACCACCGTGTTGTGCACTATTCTTGTCTGACAAGCTAGTATCACCCCCTCTATCACTGATAGAAGCTGTTAGGGGCTATGCCAGCCTTACCGAAACCCGCCACAGCCTCTTCGGTGACTTGGTCGTTAGGGTTGATGCGACCCCCAGCTCCATCTATCACCGAGTAGCCCTTCGAAGTGATCAATCGCGTCACTATCTTCGTGGCTTTGTTCCCTCTGGTGTTCGATTCACCGATGAGTTGTTTGCGTCCCGGCGGTGTGGATGGAAGGAGAAGAGGAGTAAGACCAAGCGATGACTTGGTCACAATGAATAAAAACCTTCGCTTTGAAGTTGTTGTCGGTTGATGCCTCTCGACTGCCGGACTGCGTTCCGTAGGACGATGAACAATTGACATGGCATAGAGCCGACCTTAGTGGTGTTCATGTTGTCCCTCCCCTCTCCTTTACTTTCCCTTTTTAACTACGATCTCATACCCAATGCATGTGTTATTTTTGCCCTATGTTACTTTTTTGCCTTTTGTAGTCCGTAATGTTTAATCCCTTATTTTCTTTGTATTGCGTCACATTAGTTGAAGTGTATTGGTGATGAGGAGCTTTCATCTTGAAACGGCCTTGGTCTCCCATCTTCATTCGGCACGCGATTCGCTTGAGTGTTCGCATCGCTATTTGTGACCACTATCTCCATGCTTTCGACCATGGAATTCATTCTACAATCGGTTATCATATTCTCAGAAACGCTCAAAGAGCACCTTGCTTTATGCTGTTGTTTGAAGTTCCACGTTAGTTCCAAACCACAAATCGCACTCGTACAGCTGTTTGGTGGGGTTGAGTCCACATTTCATCCACAGTTCCTTTGCCCAGGTCTTGCACTACTATATCCGGCTACTCACTTTATGAATTGTACTGGTTGGTCTGTTACGGATAGTACTGTGCATTCTGAAGACTCGTTCGAACCACATCCAAATGAATCCTGGTATGCGTGTTTCTGAATGTCATAACAAACCGCCTTCACAGTTGGTTGTTAAAAAGTGCATGATTTGCATTCCGGCTAGGGGACCAAGGAAGTGTAGTCTCACGTTTCAACTGTCACTTGAACCAGATCCACCTTGAACGGTATCACTCATTTCGCCTAGCCCAGTGCACCGTCATAGCGGATGTTTTCATTCAGAAGGGTTGTGCACCTTGGTCTTGATCGAATGGGCACTGCAGACTAGTACCTCTGACCCGTTTCTTCCGTCTCTTGTCCTTCGTACACCACTAGGATTTATAGGCAAAGTCGGCTCAAATGCTTGTATCCTCAAGACACACATTTGTCCTTCGGACACAATGTCTCACCGCGATCTTTCACATGAAACTTGGGAGTTTTGTGCTTCTGTTAGCTCTCCTCAGCTATTGTTACCAGTTTGTGTCATACAATCGTATGTAAACATGATTCCATATGAGGTTCGATGTCTTGCGACGTACTACATTTCGTTCACAGTATGAGTTTCGACTCCCTGCTTAACACCGGACGATTTAACCCATTATCGTTTTTCTTATCTTTGCCCCTTGATACATGCTTTCATCGGTCCGTCAAAATTCTTCAGTCCATCCGGCTGGATTTACTGAAGTTGGTTGAGGAATTGCGGAATGATGAAGTGCTGCTGCGTGTCCTTCCTCCACATTCGACTGTCTGAACTGAATCCCGATACCTTCATCATTAGTTATCTTACTCATTTGTTTCACCTTGTACATATAAATACAACCTTTCACTGCAATTACTCAACATTCTGCCAAGGTGTTTTATGCGCTGTGGTTGTTTGAATTCACTGCGAAATTCATACTGACGTTTGGCCGTTTTGTTCTACCCGTTATCATGCTGTTTTTGTGTTATTACTTGCTGTTTTCATTCTTGTCCAACTGCGAGTAGAGCGAAGTCCGGCATCAAAAGCGGCAGTACAGTTGCGTTGTGTTTGGTGTTTTCACTGAGTTACCACACAGCTCATTAGAAGAATGGATCCATTTTCCCGTACTAATAAAAAAGAGGATAGACCACCGGCAGTACTCAAACATGGTAGTCACAACTTTTGTGTCAGTCACAGGGTAATATCTTGATTTAAAGCAGTTAGCTCCCCTTAGAAATTTGCAAAACACGGTAAGAAGACGGAAGCTGGTAGATGCATGCATTTCGTGTTGTCTCCTCAATACCATTAACAGTAACCGGTATGTAATTGTACTTAACTATGGGTGTGAACAAATAAGCCTGCGGTGCAAAATGAATGACGGAAGTTCCACCCCTATATCCATGACAATCTTAAGCTAATAAATAATTGAATTTAAGCACACAGGACCGGCTTATCGCGACAACCTCGGCGAACCGGAGGAAGCTCTATCCGGTGACGCGTAGTCAATAGGTGTTCACTTATTGAGAAAGCTGGCGGTTTGCGCAAGCACGGAACTTCAGTTGGACAGGGACGTTGGTCAGTTTCACGTTGAATCCACCTTGGCACATGCTCCTTTATTCGGGAAGTCAAAGTCCGATTGGTTCTGCCTATGTATCTGGCTCCGCGAATTTGTGTTTGCAGTGTGAGTTGGCCCCTATCGGTTGAGCTTTCTTCGTTGTAGGCACCGGCAAGTTGCAGGTTCTATTGATGACCACAACCTGAGCAACACAGTAACTTCTCTGCGTAGCAGAGATCGTACGTTTCTTTGTTTCCAATACAGTAAAGTCACCCTTGGAAGGCAACTCGATATAGATTTTTTTCTTTTCTGCCCTATGCACCAAGTCCTTCGGGCCTCGCTGTTGGCTGTGCTTCTCTACTAATCTACTAGGATAACCATTCGCGGTAAGTGTTGTTCTAATTAACTCCAGCTCATCGGTCAGACAATCAGCCGAGCAAATTCATCTAACTAAAGTTTTCACAAGGGTCCACTTGTACCGCACTGGCGTAAAGCTGGTGAAGTACAACCATTAGCCGGATCATGTTATTTTTCTGTAGACAGACCTCTTACTGAGCCCGTCATCTCTGCGACTGATAAGAATGGCAGACAATTCTCCTGTTACACTTCTTAGGTGACCCGCAAGTTGGCATGTACACAGTTAAGTTGCTGCACCAACTGGACAACATGCTGCTCCGACGAGCAAAAAGCCACTGTCATCCACATAACGCTTATGGTATGGTAACTTGGCTATTTCTGCGCATATGCCTTTCTATCATCAGCATGAGGAAATCGGCGAGTACAGGACCTAGTGGGCTACCCATTGCCACTCCATCGAATCGACACTATGGAGTGTTCTGGAAGTGGAAGCCAACATTTTATATACACAGAAGCAAGGATTCCCTTAGAAATTCGACTGTATTTGATAACGAATAAATAGATTGCTCAGCTAGCTCGCATATGTAATCAACAGTTTGTTGTAGCTGGACGTTGGTGAATTGAGATTCCACATCCAAAGAACACATGACCTTATCGGACAGCATGCATCTACCAGCTTTCGTCTTCTTACCGTGCTTTTCTAATATATTGATGTCATTATTGTTAACTTACTGGATTCCACCCTTTTCTACCATCTTACCGCTGAGCTGGGATCCCTGACGAGATGAGAGCAGAGTTCTCCTCTCAGGACCGGATGTGTTTCTATTGTTTCCACTCTGTAGCATTTATCTGAGGAGCCTAACTCGTGCTACTGTTCGATTAAAACAGTCCATTTGTTTCGATGACAGTGAATTCTGTTTCTCGCTCACTTCTGTTCAATATCCTTCTTTGCATGACGTTTTCATAAAATCTGCGAAAATTTCACATACTTGCGATCTACTGCATATCGTCGGAACTCTTCTCTGTCCCAAGCAACCTTAGCCACTGATGATCTTATCCAGCTCCATCCAATCACATTACCGACCCAGTCAGCAATCGTTTCTTTATTGAATGTCACGATGCAGCTAATGGGATTTTGTCCTTGGTAAACTTGGTTGACTTGAACTATGCGGACGATATCATCCTCTTGGCTAACATCTACCGTTCGACATAGGGAGATATTGCTAAGATTTTCTGGCTGTTGTCAACAGCTAGTAGCCACCTCGCAGCTTCGAAATGTAATCTTGTTGTTGGAGCACAACTCGCCAGTTTTTTCCTTACTTCTTGACGACTAGCAGTTGGATGATCAATCGCCTGCCACAGAAGCTGTGGTGAGCATGTGACTGTTAGTTCACGTATTGCGGTTTTTTGAGGTGCTTTATCAGTCGGTGACTTTTCTAGTCCCCGATAGACAGATCTTTTGGCTTGCACATTTGTATATACAGAAGCATTCTCTTTTGTGGCAGCGACATATGTTCGCGTTAGGTCCTAAACTCTCAAACCCCTTCGACTTCTTGACTGTCATTGCTTACGGAGAATCGCTCGTATCAGCGCACCAGTTTTCCGGTAAGGATGCCGTGTGCTATGCTGCACTTCCGAAATGGCTTCATTTACGCCAGTTTTTATTTTTCCAGTGATTCAGGTGAACTAGATGAGCTTGCAGGAACTTTCAGTGCATCATTCCGTATCTCAGATGCTTCGAGATCTTTATACAGAATTCGTTTTGACCGCGTGCTTGAGGAGCGACACGGCTTGTTTCGTTTCACTCCTGTAATGCATTGTTTGTGCTGCCACCAAGCGTTCTTATTTGACTGCGAGTGGACCACTTCAGCGTTGGCTATCAAGGTCATCTGCAGTCCCGGGTGCTGCCCCATTGCGCTATCTTGATTTTATTCCGCTCGCCTTGAAATTGCAATTTCTCCGTCGCAAGAAGACGCAGTGTTCTTGTGTCTGAAATTACTGTCTGAGTAATGCAGACGGTTGCTTTTGCACAATGTGTGATATTTGTTTACGTGAGCTGAGTAGTTCTCTTTGGATACATGTTGACCACAGATGATGGGATAACTGCATTAAAACCGCCTTTTGGGACAACGACGTCCGGTTGATGGACTTTGCATAAAAGCTGCTGGAGTTCGAGATGGAAGTGAGCGCTGATCGGGTCGCAACTGTGGAGAACTGCAGCATAGAAGGTGGTCACAAACAGACCGTCTTTCTCCGCTACATCTATTGCTTCTGCACTAGTTCTTTAAGGCAAACTAAACATTTGCCTACTGATCGGAAGCCAGTCTAGTAACCTAATCTGAGGCTGCCTTCAAATGCTACTCCATCAACGAGCAAATCAACTACAGCCATTTTCACTTAACCCGGGCGGACGTATTTGATCTTGAGCCTTAATGGATTACAATTGAACCACGACACTAGAGTTGCTGAAACACATTTCGGAAAGTGAACAACATCTGTAGCATTTGGCCGCACATTCAGTCGGCTTGTTTTCCAATCTGTGTCTCGTGCGTTGAGGGTCACTTATCGCGATTAAGAATCTTATCGCAGCGTTGCTGCTGGCCTGATGTTATTTTCCTCAGTGAAACCATTGCTCAAATTCAGTCTGAAGTAGCAGGA